CACACCTACAATGAACTCGTTTTCCACAAAGGTGCCAAAAACATACACTAGGGAAAAGACAGTCTCTTCAATAAATAGTGCTAGGAAAACCAAATATCCATAAGCAGAAGAAATGAAACTATATCCCTATCTCTCATGATATACAAAAATCGAATCCAAATGGATTAAAGACTTAAATCTAAGATCTCAAACCTTGAAACTACTACAAGAAAACATCAGGAAACCTGTCCAGAACATTGGTCTGGGCAAAAATTTCTAGAGTAACACCCAACAAGAACAGGCAACCAAAGCAAAAATGGACAAATGGGATGACATTAAGTTAAAAGGCTTCAGGTCGGGCACAGTGGCTCATGCCTGTAATCCCAGCACTTTGGGAGGCCGAGGTGGGCAGATCACTTGAGGTCAGGAGTTTGAGACCAGCCTGGCCAACATGGTAAAGCCCAATCTCTACTAAAATAACAAAAATTAGCTGGGCGTGGTGGTGGGTGCCTGTAGTCCCAGCTACCCGGGAGGCTGAGGCAGGAGAATCACTGGAACCCAGGAGGCAGGTGTTGCAGTGACCTGAGGTAGCACCACTGCACTCCAGCCTGGGTGAGTAAGACCCCATCTCCAAAAAAAAAAAAAAAAAAGAAAAGAAAGAAAGAAAGAAAAAAAGAAAAGAAAAAGCTTTTAGTGCAGCAAAGGAAACAATCAACGAAGCGAAGAGATAATCCACAGAATGGGAGAAAATATTTGCAAACTATCCATCTGACAAGGGATTAATAACCAGAATCTATTAGGAGCTCAAACAACTCTACAGGAAAAAAATAGAATAATCCGATTTAAAAATGCGCAAAGATCTGAATAGACATTTAAAAGATGACATACAAATGGCAAACAGGTATATGAAGAGGTGCTCAACATCACTGATCACAAGAGAAATGCAAATCGAAACTACAATGAGATATCATCTCACCCCAGTTACAGTGGCTTTTATCCAAAAGAGAGGCAATGACAAATGCTGAAGAGCACGTGGAGAAATGGAAACCCTCGTACACCACTGGTGGGAATGTAAATTTGTACAATCACTAGGGAGAATATTTTGGAGGTTCCTCAAAAAACTAAAAATAGCCAGGCGCAGAGGCTCATGCCTGTAATCCCAGCACTTTGGGAGGCCAAGATGGGTGGATCACTTGAGGTCAGGAGTTCAAGACCAGCCTGGCCAACATGGTGAAACCCCATCTCTACTAAAAAAAATACAAAAATTAGCCAGGCATAGTGGTGTACACCTGTAGTCCCAGCTACCTGGGAGGCTGAGGCGGGAGATGGTTAAACCCCGGAGGTGGAAGTTGCAGTGAGCTGAGATCACACCACAGTACTCCAGCCTGGGTGACAGAACCAGACTCCATCTCAAAAAAAAAAAAAAAAAAAAATCTAAAAATAGAGCTACCATATGATCCAACAATCTCACTTCTAGATATATTCCCACAAGAAAGGAAATTGTACATTGAAGAGATATCTGCACTCCCGTGTTTGCTGCAGCATGGCTCACAATAGCCAAAATTTGGAAGCAACTTAAGTGCCCATCAACAGATGAATGGATAAAGAAAATGTGGTACATACACGCAGTGGAGTACTATTCAGCCATTAAAAAAGAATGAGATCCAGTCATCTGCAATAACAGGGATGGAACTGGAGGTCATTATGTTAAGTGAAATAAGCCAGGCACACAAAGACAAATTTTGCATGTTCTCACTTATTTGTGGGCACTAAAAAATTGCAACAATTAAATTCATGGAGATAGAGAATAAAAGGATGGTTACCAGAGGCTAGGAAGGGTAGTGGAGCAGAGGGGAAGTGGGGATGCTTAATGGGTACAAACATATAGTTGAAAAGAATGAATAAAATCTAATATTTGATAGCACAACAGAGTGACTACAGTCAAGAATAATTTCTTGTATATTTTAAAATAACTAAAGAAATATAATTGGGCTATTTGTAACACAAAGAAAGGATAAATGCTTCAGGTGATGGACATCCCATTTACCTTGATGTGTTCATTACACATTATATGGCAGTATAAAGATATCTCCTGTACCTCATAAATATATATAGCTAGTATTTATCCACAAAAATCAAAAAGAAAAAGAAAAAAGTAGTAAGATCATTGTTAGTCAGATATTTAAGTAAGTGCCGAAGACTATGAACTGGGTATAAATTTGACTACTAGTCTCTTCCAACCCTAAGATGCTGTGATTCTTTAGGTTCAACTTACCAAATTCCTTTCCTCCAGATGACCTTCATCATCTCTCACGGATATAAATCAGTTCTTCCAGGATTTCATAACTTTGTTGGGACACCTAGATTTGGTTTATCTCAAACATGGCTATTTATGTCAACTACTGTTGGGGATATCCAGCTTTATGGACACAATTTCCAGTTTTTGCCTATGCTGAATGGTCCTCTGGATACAATGATATGGGTCATGTTACCAACTCTCTTACTGATGCTAATACGTGTTAAGAATTTTATACACATTATCTCATTAGATTCTCCCACTAATCCTACAGGGAATGTGAACTTATTGTATTCATTTTACAAATCAGGAAACTCAGGGCCCAGAGGGGTTAAGTACTTTGCCCAAGATAAACTGAGCTACTGAGAGGCAGAGTCTAGACTTGAACTCTGGTCTGGCTAAATCCTTTGAAATTCCTACTCTTAGCTACCAGGCTCTATCTACCACAGTGATTTTCAAAGTGTGGTCCCTGGACCAGCATCTGCAGAATCACCTAGGAATTTGTTAAAAATGCAAAGTCTCTCATGTATGGAAATCAGAAACTCTGGGGACAAGGCCCAGCAATCTGTATTTTACAAAGCCCTTCAGCTAAGCCTGATGCTCACTAATGCCTAAAAACTGCCCAACTGAACTGAAAATTTACCTAGAAGGCCACATTCTACTCATTTAACCATACTTAGTTTTATAACCTGAATTTGAAAGTTTGTGGTGACTCTGATCTTTCTTCATGGGGAGAGAGAAAAATCCCAGACATGAAAAAGCCAGGTTCCTATTTCCTTCCCTGAAAAAGGCACGGTGATTCCTGTCAACCCTGGTGAAGGGATTAGAGAGCTGCTGTTTTAAAATATAAACAAGAGGGAAATACTTTTAAAAACCCTTTTGTAGTATAGCTAAGTTATTGTGGTTAGGCATAAAGAATAAATAGATCAAGAAGATATTGAAATTCCCCTAGAGCTTTAATATAATAACATTAATTATCTAATTAAGCAATAGTTAAAATTGTTGCTATATGTGTTTTGTTTTCAAAAAAAGAATGTAAATTTGTACACCTTTGCCTGGCACATATATCAGTGAAAACAGTATTTCCCAGGTAGCATTATCAATGGAAGTTATCATTGGCTTTCTTTGGTTTAAAAAATAAAAATCCTTTCAGCTTTAAAGCTCATGCTGCCTACAATGTGACCTTGATCTGTTTCAAGCTTATCTTTAGTCAGTAGCACTGTGCAACTCTGCAAATCAGTCTATAATCTCTTTAATATTCTCCTGCACGTGCAGTTTTAAAGCTCAGTCATTGGCATGGAAGTCACTCATTACTTCAAGGTCTCTGGAGATACTACAGCTGGTCAGATCAAAGTTTTCACAAGGTCAGTGGGGACATACGTGAGTACTACGTTAAATGCTGCATAAAACAGGAGGATTTCTCTACAGGTGCATATTTACCTGAGATAGGCAATAAGCAGTTTTTAGCTGTATGGAAATGAAGTAAAACAAGAACTACCTCACTCACCACACTGCACCACACCGAAAGTAAACTAAGCACATTTCACTTGGAAACCTTGGCAAAATAAAAAGAGTCCATGGTCTGGAATAACACATGATTCACTGTATTATCCAAGGGTGCTCTCACATGTCTGAGTCTACAGGCAGTGAAAGGAGGGACGTACCTTGTCATCCCTCCTTTCAGAAAAAGGTGTAGAGAGGCAGTGAGCTAATAGATAACAGCATCTGTTCTTGTAATTAATACAATGAAAATACGGACTTTACTAATCTTTCTCCTCCAAATACATCGATATAAGGCCTATACAAAGCTACCAGCGCTCAGGAATGTTGGAAGACCAAAGTGGCTGAGTCTGGCCACCATCATTCATAATAGGTCTAAGGAGTTACCTATACACCGTTTTCTTCAGTGAAACCTTATTTGAACATCAAGTCCCATAACTTCTTTAAAGGGAAAATCAGAGAATTTTTTTAGACCCTGGCTGTTATGATAATTCAGTATGCATAAAAAAAGGCTAAGATGTGCTAAAGAAAATTGTGTTGTCCATCAAAGAGATTTCTTCTTTCTTATATTTCTTCATTCATTCATTTACTCAATATTAACAGAGCAAAAATATATGCCAGGCAGTATCTAGAAAATGCCAACTAGCTCCACATGTCCTCCCCAACAGCCCCCAATAAAACAAACAGCAACAAGCAGAATATAATTTGGTAGACATGAGTGAAAATGCCAGATGATTCAATTACTGGAGTACACTTCCAAAGAAGATTTTGAATTGTCAACAGTGAGCAAGGCTAAGTCCTTAGTTGGCTGGTCAAGTACCTATCTGCCTGAAAGCAGTAGTCAAGACCTCTTCAGGTCTCTTGATCTGTGCTTTGTAATTGCACTTAGAATAAGAGATTAAATGCAAATTGACCTCTGCCAAATATCTTCTCTAACCAATATAAGAAGGCCACTAAGATTCCATTTAATAACAGACAAATACAGTCACTCATAAAGGTGAAAATGAACACTTTACCTGCTGCTATCTACAATATACTAAGCATTCTGTGTATATATTAACTCATTAAATCTCATACACAATCTTCTGAAATTTATTCATAACTTTATGAATGAATGCATTAAATCAAAAGGTAGTAAATTTAACTGTGAGTCTTCATCCAGATGCTTAATACTATTGAGTCAAAATATCTATTGACGTCCTTCAGTGGTCAAAATCTAACTTACCCTTGCCATATCCACCAAGAAGTTCTCAAATAATTTCCAAATGTGGTTACTTGTATAGATTTCTTTCATTTCCACTTCAGTGTCAACATAACAGTGATTAACAAAGTTCACATAAGCAATTTTAACCTGTGCAAGTTTCAAATACAAAAGAAAGTTAGTTTTCTTTATTGATGACTTTGAAATATCAATTATGAAAGGTTAATATAAAATCTGTTAGTTTTCATGGTAGATCATAGCATAGTTTTGTCTATCCAGAAAGCATTCCCATTTCTCTTCTTTTGCTAAGAGTTCACTGACCTAGGGGTGAAAACATGGGGCCAAGTACTCCATCCCCCTGGGCCCAACAATTGCTGTGAGAAAGAACTTTACGCAAAACAAGCCTATCATATTTGAGATTCTAGGAGTCAAAAGCAACCCCTCCTTCCTCTCTCTTTCCCTTTCTTTCTTCTTCCCCTCTTCTTCCCTGTCCCCCCAATCCCTTCCCCATCTTGAGTACCTGTTTTATGCTAAAGAACATACTTAAAGTTCAACTAAAATTTCACTTTGATAACAATGCCATGTTTAGAATTTAAGAGTTGTGTAGTAGCTTCCACTAAACTAGCAGTGGCTATAGTTCTTAAAAGTTTGTCATCTTTCAGAACTTCTTACAGAATTTACTAAAAAGTAGAGCTTTTATGCTCTTTTAAGTTTCCCAAATTACATAAACACAATTACTTGACTAAATACATGAGTCCCCGCCCTCTTCTTCCTCCTCTTCCTTCTTCTCAATAACTCTTTTTTCTCTCATTGCTAAAACGAAACAAGGTAAACCTTAACTTCAAAAAACCATCTTCTCCGGGTATGTAGAGGAAAATTACACCCAGAAGAGAATAAGGCAGAAAGATGAAGGAAAAACGGATGAGAAATAGAATAAATTCTGACACTCTTTCAACCTCTGGATCCATCTGAACAACCATCCTTCAAATTCCTACATACTGGAGCCAATAAAATTCCCTTTTTTAACTTAAACTAGTTTACATTAGGTTTCTGTCACTTGTAACCAAGAGAGTCCTAATAAAACATTAAAATATTTTGGCCAAATAATACTTCATTACCATTCAAAAATATTTAAATTACTTTTTTCTGAGAAGAAATAAGCTCACAGTTTATCCCCAAAAATGTATACTATTTTAAGATACAGATGTAGTAAAAATTCCTTTCCAGAATTAGTGAAATTCTTCATAAAGGATTGGGATGAATTTCACTAACATACACCATTTCTAAAGAACATAGGACTGTAATTTTTGTTTTGCATTTTTTTGTTTCCTTCGTTATGAAAATCTGATGAATGCTATAAATCTCTCTGGAAAAATATATATACATAAAAAAATCATATGAACAATTTCAGGGACTCATAGAATCCAAATTGAAACCATAAAAAATTTGGGACAGCTTTCATGCCCTTGGTGCTTCTTTGTACCTCACTGATCCTAAACAAACTGTCAATGGCAGAGTGCCCGTGTCAAGGATGGCCACAGGGTACAGAGACGCGGGCCACTCAGTGCATTCTCACACCTATCAGGACAGCAGCTAAAATGTACTCAGTGTTTCCTAAGTGCCAAATACCCTCAGCATCTTGTATGAATTATTTACTTTAATCCTCCAACAATCCTATCAGGTATATACAATAATTATTCCACCTTAAAATTGTAGGAATTTAAGATTAAAAAGGTTAAGTAACCTGTTGGAGTCAGCCACACAACTAGAATGTAATGTATCCAGGATAAAATATTCTGTAATTCTTTTGTGTATTCATTCAAAACTTATTTATTGAGTGTAGGCTCTGGCTCAAACAATAAAACAGTGAAAACAAACAGATCCAGTTGCTGTTATTCTCATAGAGCTTACAATCTTGGGCATGGGCATGAGGGTTACAGGTCTTTGCTAACTAATAAAATGGAAATGTCAAATTTCAAATTATATATTCTTACAGACTCTACTAAGGGAGGCCAAGGAAGTCTTCCCTGGAGAAGTAAGGCTTGAATCAAGATCTAAAGGATAAGGAGGAGTTATTCAGATGAATGTAAGAGGTAAGAGTGGTAGTGTCAGAGGGAACTACATGTAGGAAGAAATATACCCAGAATCAGGCTCTCAAGTAAGGACAGAACCCAGGGATTTCATCATTTGACTAGACTTCCCCTCTTTGTCATCTTATTTCAGACCAATCAGGCATGAAGTACTCTTGGAGTGACATGTCGACAATTCCACAAAATTTCACAAAAATATGCTTTCAAGTCCATCACTACCATACGATTATCTAAAAGTAGGGAATTTCTGTTAACCTCATCTGACACCTTTTTAAGTTACTGTGATTTTAAATGTTTGACTCCATATCTTTTCCAGGGTATCACATATTTATAAGCTTTGGAACAACATACAACAGTAGAAAAGAAAGAAATTATTGCAATGTACATTCCTGGATGCCTCATTAATAGAAGCCTATTGGCAGACAACCAGCTGCTACTGAGGCTTTTCTATCATCAGAGTCAAACCAGGACAGAGGGTAAATGATGTGGGAATAAAGCAAACTGTGTGTGCATATTTTCAAGAATGCATCTATTCCATAAAACCAGGTAAACCTGCAGAGTCTTTTATGTGATCCTGCAGCACTATCCTAGCCTCTCCAATCAATGATTATGAATCATTTTTGAAACACCTGTTTTATGCTCAAGTACATACTAAAGGTTCAAGTAAACCTTTCAGTTTGATCATATTGCCATGTTTAGAATTTTAAGAGAGCTGTCTAGTAGCTTCCACTAAACGAGCAGTGGCTATACTTCTTAAAAGTTTCTCATAGGCTGGCTGCGGTGGCTCATGCCAGTAAATCCAACACTTTGGGAGGCCGAGGCGGGTGCATCACCTGAGGTCAGGAGTTCGAGACCAGCCTGGGCAACATGGTGAAACCCTGTCTCTACTAAAAATACAAAAATTAGCTGGGTGTGGTGGCACATGCCTGTAATCCCAGCCACTCAGGAGGCTGAGGCAGGAAAATCGCTTTAACCTAGGTGGCAGAGGTTGCAGTGAGCCGAGATCTTGCCTTTGCACTCCAGCCTGGGCAACAGAGCAAAACTCTGTCTCAAAAAAAAACAACAAAAAAAGTTTATCATCTTTCAGAACTTCTTTTAGAACTTCTTATTAAAAAGCAGACCTTTTATGCTGCTTTACATTTTCCAAATTATATCGTTAAATACAATTCCCTGCCTAATATATGATCTCATTATAAATATTAGTATGGGGGACTTCTGGCACCTACATAAACTTTAAAAATTAATAATGATTCTATTACAGCTGCCAAGCTTTTGCCAGGCTTACCTCAGGGATGCAGTCGTCATGGGTCACCACCCTCACTATGTCATCCAGGGGGAGAAGGGAATTACACTTGATTTCAGTGTAGACATTTTTCCCCTCTGTGCATGCTGCCAGCAGCTCCACCAGGGTGATGTGGTAGGCTAAGGGGCCACTCTCATCCCCTCGGTCTCTCTCTGAACACATCATATGGAGAAGGATTGGAAATGATGCTCTATCGTTGTAAAATATCAGCACGTCTTCACCCCCATTTATCAACTGAAAAGATAATACGAGAGTCTACAGAGCAGTCCAAACATTTATCCTTGCAGTTAATTCCAAAGGCTTGATATATCTGGAAACACATGTATCTCTTTGTAAAAACATATAATATGGCAAAAGCAGAGCTAAGCTGGGGGAGGGTGGTGAAAAGATTATGGTCCCATGCTAAGGAACCAGCTATGAATGCTATCAAAATCAGTTGGGGTGACATGGAAGCAGCAGATGGGGCAAGAATGAAACAATATGGATGATAGTAAATTGTTCATCACACTCAAATTAAACCTGTAAAAAAATAGTTATTTTCCTCTACCTTTTTTTGGCCAGGAGACTATGGCCAAAGCACAAGAAATCTCATAATTTTACTAAAGCAGAGTAAAATATCCTCATCCATTGTAATAGTGACTACATAAGCAAGTACATCGAGCTAAAATTACAGCTCTACAAAAGCCTACAAAATTCCATGTGTCATAAGAAGGCATCAGTAGAGAATGAAGGTAAAAGCAGAGACAAGAGAAATAAGTAGAAAACTAGGACCAAAAAACCAAGAGAAACAAAGATATAAATAGGTAGGGGCTTTTAGGACATAAATTTTCCTTCATATTTTGTTTATATAATTTTAGTAGAAAATTCCATCAGATGGCAGTTTTATTGCTCAAACTCTACACTATCTTATTGTCTATTATCAGTACCAATTTTCTAACCCCAGTGTGAGACATGTTGGTAGGTAACTAAGGATATACAATTTTTTCTCTATGTATTATATTTAAAGTGACAATATATTTAAATCTATAAGCCAATTAGTTGGCTTACTTTGAAAGTTTTGTTGAAAGAGAATGTATATTTATCAAAAATATGTATTACATATTAACATAATATAATATTACAAATACTTCTTTGCGCACAGAAACACTTCACCCAACAGTGTCACAGGGATGGTTTCACTGTTTGCTGCTTCCCCATTCTAATTCTTTCCTTGCCGATCATAACACAAAACCCAGTTAGTTCTCACATTTCCAGACAATGAAGAGCTAATGTGAAGGTAAATGCAGAGAAGAAAAAAGTGCATTTTACAAGCTTAAAATGTTCCTTAAAATGTTTAATAATAATAATTTACATTTAAAAATTCAAGGCTTTAAGCTAAATTAATTTTAAGATTTCTAAGTGGCAGGAGGGACTCCTTGAAGCATTATGGAAATTTCCTCCATTCCCAAATTTAAGGTATATACTAATGAAAATGCCCAGAAACCAATAAAAATCTACCATGTAACTATTTGGTAGTCATAGGTGGAAGCTCCCTTAGTCCATATGGGCCACTAGAGAACCATTTGGTCACAGAGTGGTGATTTAATCAACGGGCTCTTTAAGCTGCTACTTCTCCAATGTATCATACTTGCTTCCTAGTAACTTACTGATTACATAAATATCGCTCAACATCAAACATAAAAATGAAAAAGGCAAATAAATAGATGAAGTGCCTTCATCTATTCATTTGCTGAAATTTACAACTTACTCTAAATAAGTTTCCACATGTTGTAAAAAAAAAAAAATCACTGTTGGGTAGTTTGTATTACTTAGTTTGATTCTCTTCAAACCTTTCTGCAAATAGTAGCAAAGAACACCCATTCTATATTTCAGAAACAGAGCAATAAAGGCACCGGAAAAGCACAGTTCAGTCTGTCTTTCTTATATCATTGGAAACTCAAAAATATAAAATTGTGTCACTTTCATTCCAAACAATCGATAACATTTCATAGGATTTTACCCATTATTTAAAATACACAAATTTGTTATAGGTCAAAAAGAAAAATATTACAAAAATCATAAAACCAACTTAAGATATGTTGCTTCACTAGATTAAAGCAAAATATATTTGCACTTGAGTAGTCATGATTAAATTAAATAACTTCTCAAACCTATGTGGTTGGGGGTTTTTTCACTCTAATAGAAAATACATATTTGAACATACTGTTTATGTGAAGCTGATAAAAGGCAAACTGAGAACATACCTCTGTCATTACCATATCCTGGCATTTCTTCACATATTTACCATCTGCTTTCACAATTGTTTGCAAAAACCTCAGGTACTCCACGTGGCGGCCATGTGTCTCAATGCAGTGCACAAAGTGCTGTACAACTCTCTCACTAATTTCGTTGCACAGATGGTAATTGTTCATGAAGATGTGCCGCATGGTTTCTGCTTCAAGGAGCTAAACACAGAGGAACATGCCCTTGTAATTCTGACAAGATCAATTTTCTATTCTACAGTACTTAGACTAATTGCCCTGCTTGTGATCAGTTTTGTATTTTATATGAAGCCACAGTGAATTTTCTGTGCAAGTCTTTCAAAAAATGCAATGAGATCATTAACCATTAAAAGTAAACTGAGTTCACAGAGGAATTTAGTTGGAGAAAGGAGCTTATTATCATAAAGTGCAACATACTGGCAACCGTATTCTCGAGATTAATTATGAATTCAAAGTTAGGTCTTCCATAAAATCTGCTCAAACACATTTTACAGACAAGGGCAAACTCCACCTCTGAGTTTTCCATATTTACCTTACTCAGGGTATTGTGAGTTGGTTCTTTGTTCTACTATATCTTTTTCCTAATATTTAACTATATACATATAAAAGACGTTGTCATTTGCACGTAAAACTTGTGCAATTTTTCAAGTTTCTTTAAAAGTTTCCTTAATGGGAAAAAAAAAAAAAGATACTTGCTTTTGGAGAGAGAATTTCCACAAGGAAAAAAAAAATGAAGCAATGAAGTGTAACAAAATTCTCTTCAAGAATGTTACTAAGACACATTTGATGCACACTTTACTAGAAATATTAGAAGCCACTAAAATACTTACACCTGGAGTTAAAAACAAATTCAGATGTTTATGAAGAAGAACTTGATTCTGTGGATTTCCTCGACAGAAATTCTGCAGAAACGTATGGGCTAGATTCATTACTTCGTTCATCTTTTCATCGTTCTGTAAGTTAAAGAATAGCACATGATAGAAACAAACATAGAAGACTGCAAATGTTATGCAAAAATCTGTCCTTTCACCCACATACCATTTTTCTCTCTGCCCATCTTTGCTCTCGTTTCTCTGTGTCCTTTATGTTTCACACCTCTCCCAGTTTCCCCTCCTGTCCCTCTTCTCTGTTCTCTAAATCTTTCTCACCTTCTCTGTTATTCCTCCTGATTCTATTCTGCTCTACTCTTCCAATGCCCCCTTCGTTTCACAGCCCTTCTCTTTCTCCCCAATCTTTCCAATTGTTCACATTTCCCCATCTCTGTACATAGCCACATTTTCCTCCTCTGCTTCATCCCTACACTCCCTCTGTCCTCCTTTCCTCTCTGTCCCTATCTTTCTCTGTTTCTCCTCCCTTCTCTGCTGTACGCCCCAGTCCCCATAATTCTTCCCTTCCTTTAAATGTCTCATTTTGCAGTATGTCTATATATCTCCATCATTCTGCTTCTTTTCTTCTTTGTCTCTCTTTCCCTACTCCATTTCTCTCTTTCTCATACATCTTCCTTCCTACTCTTTTTCCCATGTCTATTTCATCTCCTCTCTTCTTCTCCTCTTGTCCCATCTATTATTTCTTCTGCTCCCATCCCCTATTCTCCTGCTCTGCTCTCACTCCGTTTCCTCTCCATTCAAACTTCCTCTCTTCCTCCACTCTGTCTGTCATCTCTGTATATATATTTATTACTCACTCATCTCAGTTCTTCCTCTCTCCAATCTCTCTGTCCCTTCCTCTTGCTATTTACCTTGTCTCTTATTTCCAACTATTTATTTTTCTTTTCCTCTTTGCTTTCTCTTCTATTTTCTCCTCCTTTTTGTCTCCCTGTTTCTTAACACTCTTAATAATGAATATCCTTATTCGTTGCCATTTTCCAAAGTCCTATACTAAGCTACTATCATTTGGTTATAAGAATCTTAACAAGAAACTTAAGTCTTAAAATTCACAGAGAAACAAATCGGTCTTCTTAAAAGTGGTCTTGTGACAATATCAGTGAAACTACCTAAAATTTCCCTGTGTAGTTGACTGTACCATTTGTCATGTGGTCATTGTTAGAAATTCAGATGGACTCATGTTTTGAGTGAAATTTTATGTTAATAAGCACCCACCCATATGCATATTCCCTAGCTTTGCCTATTTAGAGAGGCTATGGAGACAACACCCCAAAGCAATAAGCCCACTCAGTTCTCAGAACTTTGCTCCTAAATACCATTCCCCACCAAACAGAAATGGGACTTCTTAAAGAAATGGCTGATTCTAGAGTTGAAGCAAGAAAAACACAAGATGAGCCTGGAACATTTTATTGTGCCAGAAAGCAAGGAAGTACTCAAAGAATGGTGGGGGTATATTAGAAGACAGATAATCTAGCTCAAAGGAACTCCACTGGCCAAATCTGAGACATTTTGGAAATCAAAATAAATAATGATAGAACCCTTTATAACCTATGGAATAAAATGAACATATACAAACCCATACTGATAAAAATAAACACAGTAAATGAATACGTTGAAAGTTTCATGAAGAATGGGATATTAGTTTCACAGAACTGCTCCACAAAATACTTATTAATTACAAAGGAATTACAAAGGGAAAATCAGAGAAGCCTGGCAGACACAACCTCAATCAATTGATCAAAGTGAACATCATCAGTCATGGGACAAATCAAAATTGTGCACCAACTAATAGGAAGCAATGAGACGAACTTAGCATTACTCCTGTTATGTTCCTGCCAAATATGCGTAATTGTGTTAATCAGGAGGAAATATCAGATGATCCACATTAAGGGACATCCTTCAGAATAACTGGCTATTTTTAAGAGTGTCAATGTTATGGGAGTTCCCACATGAAGAGATTTAAATAAACATAACAACCGAACAGCGCGTGATTCTGAAGTTGATCTTTCTTTCAAGCCAAAAACAATTGGGACAATGGGAGAAACCTGAGTAGTGTGTAGGGACTAGGTGGTGGTAAAGCGCCATGCTCTTTCCTGATTTGGAAGGCTCTAGTGTGGTGATGTGGTAGGGTACCCTTGTTTGTCGGAAACATACACAAAAGGGCTCAGGGGTGATGGGGCACCTGGTGGGTGATGTATTCTAAAATAATGAAGAAAGAAAAAATTTCTTGGAACTTTGCGAAACATTTTAAACTGTATCAAAATAACAAGCTAAAAAATAACCAGGACTAACCTTTTCGTAGGGTATCTGGAGAAGATCTAACACCACTGAATGTGCCCCCATATTTTTCAGTAATCGTTGATGTTGAATCCGACATTTTTTATTCTGTACACAGAGTTTACTTAGCCTAATCAAAATCTTTAAAAAGAAGAGGGAAAGCATCAAATATAACAAATAACAATATTAAGTATAATCTATAAGCAAAACTTATTTGGCATGCAAATATAAACCTATATAAGAATATTTTGTATCTGCTGACCTCCTTTACAATCCGGTAGTTATTGCTCTTGTTGCTGTCAATCTGAGGTTTCTTTGTTCCATCCTGCACTGGACTTAAAATGTTTGATTCCTAAAAGGAACACAAATATGTACTTTTACGCCATTTGTAGTTTTGTGGTAAATTTATAATAAATATATTTTGTAATTATTTTGTAATAAATCTATTATTCAACTTAAATGGTTCTTTTGTACCTTTTTATTGCATAAAATGTTCCTTGGCTTGACTGAGCCATGCAAATTACCACTACCCAGTGAGAACACAATGACAAGTTAACTGGAATGTCCTAGAATTCTGAGTTAAACTGTAAAGTTTTCATACATATTATTAGTGCATATCCATAAGAGACATATATACCTCAGACATGCTGTGGCTTTATATTGCCTATATGAGAAGAAACAGTGAAAATACAGGGCATAAAATATATAATTTAATCACTAGGAATGAACTGCAAGAAAAAAAGAGTGACGGAGCAGATGATCATAGCTGAGCACATCACAGAGAAGGGAGCAAGGAGCAACTTAACGCAACAATGCTCTGACAGGTCACCATGGCATCCTAAAGAGTCACGACTCAGGGCCAACATACAGAACCATGAAAATGAAGAAAGAAAAACAAAAAGCAAATTAAAATAAAATGTTTAAATTATCAAATTAATGAAGCTTATGAAGGAAACCTGAAACACCAAAAATACTTAATTATAAAAACTATTATCTGTAGCATCGCAAATATGGGGAGTGGACATATTTGAAACATCAACTACTGGCATCACCTTATGAAAATCAAACACCAGTGACAATTCCATTCTGAACATTTATGAAGATGTCATGCACACCTGGTACTAGACTACGGTGAATGGATCTAAAAGAGATGCATAGAAGATATGGTCCTTCTCACAAGAAAATTACAGTCTACCTAAGAAAACAGGGAGAAATATATCAATAAGGATTGGAACTGGGCAGAATTCACTCTTCAGAGAGAGATAGAAAGAGAACAGCTGCAGCTTTATACAAGCGTTATGAAGGAGGTCAAGTGTACGGCAAGGTCTACAAGGATGAAAACTGTCTAGTTAGGCATAAAGGATGTCTAGCCAAAGGTACTGCAACAAGAACAAGCATACTAGTTACATGGAAAATGGCAAGAACTGACAGGGTCCATTGCAAAGACTGGGCAATCAGAGTGGGGTCTGATGGCCTCCCTCATTTACAATCCATGCAAAATTGCACTTGGAAGGAATGTCAAGTTCAACATGGGTCCAAAACTCCTGACCATAATGATGGTGTTAGGCACTTGCCGTGAAAGGGGACCCTAGTTTAAGCTCAGGAGAAAGTTACAAAGATACAGGAAGCCAATGGATACAATTCATTCGTCCCAAGTTGCTTCTCCTACTGTGCTCCAGGACAAATCACAAAATTAATAAACATCAAGAAAGAAAAAAACTGCTTTCCTTGTTAATCAGAAGTTCTGATGAAAGGCTTCAAGCAGCAGAGTGACTTAATCCACGTTGAGCCAGCACACTCCTCACTCAGCTTTATATTTTTCTTTTGCTTCTTTTCTGGCAAATATTGTCCTGAGGTCCCCAGTCTCAACTTCACTTTAACAAGTGACCTCCTTCTCCCATTTTACTGAGCAGACAGAAATTCCTCTACATGGACACTTTCTCTTTTCCATCCAAAAATTTCCAGTGATATCCACAAACCTGTCTATCTTCCCTACTGTGTCTCAGAGAACAAACTTTTTGATGCATAAAATCAAAAATTCCATCTCCTCTTCCTCATCTCCCTGTTTCATCCCTGTTTCTGGTACAACAGTAGGTTCTACCCTTTAATGACTCTTTCTCATCTCTTAGCTTCTACCTTGCTGACCACTTGTCACTCATACTCACTAGAATTGGAACTGCAAAAAGTAAAAGATCCAAACACTGAAAGCCTTCAAAACATCACTAAGTTAGACTCCAGAGCTGTATTGCCTAGCTATCATAATGAATATTTAGACAGAAATGAAAGCAGTCCAACCACCACTCCAGGGAAATAAAAGAGAGAAAAGAATGCAGGATATTACCTGCAAGACATTAACCATGAAGTGAATCTTGAAAATTATAGGAGAGGCCGGGTGCGGTGGCTCACAGCTGTAATCCCAGCACTTTGGGAGGCCAAGGCGGGTGAATCACAAGGTCAGGAGTTCGAGACCAGCCTGGCTAACATAGTGAAATCCCATCTCTACTAAAAATACAAAAATTAGCTGGGTGTGGTGATGTGTGGTGCCTGTAATCCCAGCTACTCAGGAGGCTGAGGCACGAGAAACGCTTGAATCTGAGGGGCAGAGGTGGCAGTGAGCCGAGATCACTCCACTGCACTGCAGCCTGGGTGACAGAGCAAGACTCTGTCTCAAAAAAAAGAAAAAAAAAATTATAGGAGAAAGTGTAAAACTATATATGAAAGTAAAACCAATGTAGAAGAGAAAATACAACCCAGTGGCTAAGATGAATGAAAACTATTTAGATGAAAAGAGGCTAGAGGTCAGAGTATGAAACAAATAGATTTTCCATTTGATAGCAAAAATAATTTATTGATGAGAAGTAGAAACTGCAAAAGCTAGAAATATAATTACATTTCCTTTTTCTGATCACAAAGGTGAAGGCTGGATTTTTAAAAGGCCATTTCATTTTTTTCTGTAAGAGAAGAAATACTAAAACATACACACAAACACACACACACTTGTACCATAAACCAGGATTAAGATATTACCAGCTCTAAAGATTGACAAAGCTCTTTAGTTAGAAAAGAGATATTTTTGATACATGTCAACTTTAAAGAAAACTGTTACAAAGGCAGGCGAAGCTTTGGTAGATATCCTTTAGCCTGTTTTTCTAGCAATAATCTGAAGAAAAAGCAACTGTCTTGTTTTAACAAAAGTAATCTTAGGTAAAATGTACTACATGACAAAAAGTTATGCTCTTTAGTTCAGCCCAGGTGAAGATATATACAATGCTAAACTCTGTATGTGTGGGAATTATGAAAAATAGTGATTTTGATTTAAAACTGCTAGCAGTCAACAAAAGGCAGCAACATTGGAAAATTCAATAAACAACCCCTTTTAATTTCAGAAAATAATTCAATTTAATTAAATTGAACAAAAACCCATGGAACATCTGGATGATTCCAAAGCAGTGATCAAGGTAATTTAAGAAATATGTAAACTATATAACTACAATTAGGTTTTGTTTTCTAATTCTGATGCCAAAATGGTCTAAATAAAGGTGCTGCAAAAGTTTTCCTTCTGAAAGAGCTGAAATTGGCTGTATTCTTTATGTCTTATACAATGCTTTACATTCTATAAACTTTAGCCCTACATCACTGGTCTAATCTACAAAACCTTGAATTTATTCTAATGACAAAATATTAGAAAAGTGCAAAATGTAGAAGTATGACTTATGCAGCATCCCAGAGCTGAATGGGTCCAGAAAAAAGAAAAAAGTGTGACACTTAGAACAGTGTCAGGGTCGTAGCACATCTCCAAATGATCCTTTTGACAATAGTGATGAAAACTAAATACAGTGCTCCAAACGTCCTTGCACTTTATTGTAACTGCTTCCTATCATCTGGAGAACTTAGATGTATTCCCCCTAACAGAATATGGGAAACAGCTTAGTTCAGTGATTTTAGAGGTAGTTATATTTTTAATTGCATAGTATATACCATAACATAAAACAGTAGGTTCAAAAACAAGAGAGCAAGAAGAGTCTAGAAATTGGGTGGGCATCAGGGTTCTAGGCAGAGACACAAAGAGTGAATATTGGTTCTGAAGATAGTTTCTTTCTTTTTTTTTTCCATCAAGTAAGGAAATTTTTATATCAATAGTAAAAAATGATATAAGAAAGTAATATTATGTGAACTATATGGTAAACTAAATTTTAGCACTGGGTAGGTCTGATGACTCATGCCTATAACCCCCATACTTTGGGAGGCCAAGGTGGGAGGAATGCTTGAGGCCAAGAGTTTGAGGTTAGCCTGGGCCACACAGAAAGACTCTGTCTCTATAAAAAATAAAAAATAAAAAAAACATTTATTAGTTGGGCATGGTGGACTCACCTATAGCCCTAGCTATTCAGGAAACTGAGGCAGGAGGACCATTTGGGCCAAGAGTTTGAGGCTGTAGTGAGCTATGATTGTGCTAATCACTCCAGCCTGGGCAACAGAGTGAGACCCATCTCAATAAATAAGTAAATACTGGCACTAATTAATGGGAATCCAGCTCCTTAATTTAACCAAGGGCAATCATGCTTTTAAAAATAGAATTTTCCAAATCCTACAATGTAGAGCTGCCTACATCTGCAGCTGCATGATTAAAATAGCTTGGTGCATGCCTTCTATTTATCCCTATCCCACTGAAGTTTAAGGAGGTCCATCCTCAGTGAAGTTGCCAAGTCAGCAAGACTGCAAGGCCTTCCGCTCACTATCTGTACTGGTAGCCTTCTCTGGTGTAACCACTCTTTAAACTAGTCAGTGACACCATAAACCACCCACCCTCCCCTCAACTTCAGGTGCCAAATGCTGTCCTTCTTCTATCCTCATCTCCCTTCAAAACATACAAAAACAATTTTTTAATAACGAGTCTTTTGTATTTGATTCGCCACTCAGATTATAGATTATAATGTAGTTGAAGCTGTTCAGAATAAATACTGCCTCTTTCAGATAACTGAATGATAACCCTCTATGGGATAAGGAGGTATTTTTTTCTCCCCCGCCCCCCATCTAATGATAACATCATGTACTAGTCATTTAGGAAGATATCACCCTAGATCTACTTCTATGACCTTAACTGGAAAGCTACTTTAGACCATCCTGGTATCATGGTTGTCAGATTCTGCTTCCCTGGGAAGCACCTAAGGCTGCTTGAAGGCTTGATTCAAAATCCACAATGGACAGAAGAGGCTGTGACCAGCATTACTTGCAGATAACTTCCTTCCAGATGTTTCCTCAAGTCAGAGGCAAAGCTCTACCCTTCTAGAGAATACATACATATTCATAACTTTACCCCAAACCTTTTTCCCTTTCGCTCCATAATAAGAC